AGAAATAGGGATATTTCAAAAGCCCAAAACACTGTATTGTCTTAGGGATGCCCAGACCCTTAAACGGACCTCTTGAAAAATTTTAAAGCTATTTTAGAAAAGCAGATAAGTTGGACATTTCAGCACAGTTTTTGTCTTTCGGATATATTCAAGCATTTGTTTGTAATCGTGCCCTAAACTTTGGCAATTTTCATGTTTCTGGCATGCCCAAATCAGGGAAAATGGCCCCAAAACATGTTTGGGCTGTTACCATGGCAACGATCGGTGTAGAGCAGAAAGAAAGCTATTTTGAGGGGTTGTGGGCCAAGTACTATCACTGTGCAAAATTTGAGCCAAATCGATTTTTTGACCCCTGCCACCATTGTTTGATCCTTACAGACATTTGCTCTTAAGCCTCAGCTTCAACAAGATTTCTGCACAAGACTTGCTCTCAGGGCAGTGAGAACAGAGGATAGCAGGCACTACTGTAACTAGTCAGCTATCTTGCCCAACTGGAAAGAAGGCTAATTTATTTAGTTTTAAAAAAAGTGTTGATAAGATAACACATTTGACATATGTAGGCATGTCAGCTGATTTTTAGGTAAAATGACCTGACCACTTTCTGGTAATGTTGATGGTATATTGTATATACAATACACATGTACTGTTTACCTAGCATACCACAAATGATGTGTAATTTGTTGTATAAAAGGTATTCTTGTATACTTTGATAATTAACCTTGAATTGTACATTAACCTTTCTGAAGGCAAACCTTTCTGAAGGCAAACCTTTCTGAAGGCCTGTGTTATCTTCTATGACTAAATATAAACGGCAGCAGTTTTCATTAGTTCAAGTATCATATCCTTGCACAGTGTACCATGAACTTTAATGCAATTTTGTACACACTGTTTGCAATATATCAAACAATGAAATAGCAAAGTACATAATGAGTGTGGCTGTGCAGGTATCATTTTATCAGTCAATTTATAAACATTAAATAAACCTCCTTTGCCAAAAATGTACTTATGATGTCTTTGTGTCACACACTTTATCTTCAGGATTTGTTCTTCAGCTTCATCTCAATGAATATCCCCAGTCATCAAGCAAATTGACACATCAAGCTTTGTATGCAATTATTCCAGTACTTTTTGTCTTGAATATTGATGTACATGTATAGGTAATAGGCTTTTTAGAATATTGTAATTATAGAAATTTAATGAAAAAGCCTGAATAGGCTCAGGGAGGAAACAATGGACTAGTTGCTGGCCTAGGCATTTATTGAAGGGAGGGGGGTAGCTGTGGTGCATAAAGAAGCAGTATTAAAGGGATTTTTATGCTAATGATGAAAAATTTTCAACACGGAGCTATTTTTTAAAAATTGGTATTGTTGGGTCCGTTGCGATATGCCAAGTAAGTGTAAATATGTAGATTTCGTTGAGAAACATTGATATGGGGGGGCCCCCTGGACAGAAAAGGGATTTTTATGCTAATGACGACAAATTTTCAACGCGGAGCTATTTCGTAAAAATTGGTATTGTGGGGTTCTTTGCGATACGCCAAGTTCAAATATGTAAATTTCATTGAGCAATATTGATATAGGGGGCCCCCTGGACAGAAAAGGGATTTTTATGCTAATGACGACAAATTTTCAACGCGGAGCTATTTCATAGAAATTGGTATTGTGGGGTTCTTTTGCGATACGCCAAGTTCAAATATGTAAATTTCATTGAGCAATATTGATATGGGGGACCCCTGGACAGAAAAGGGATTTTTATGCTAATGACGACAAATTTTCAATGTTACCTATTTCGTAAAAATTGGTATTGTGGGGTTCTTTGCGATACGCCAAGTTCAAATATGTAAATTTCATTGAGCAATATTGATATGGGGGGCCCCCTGGACAGAAAAGGGATTTTTATGCTAATGACGACAAATTTTCAACGCGGAGCTATTTCGTAAAAATTGGTATTGTGGGGTTCTTTGCGATACGCCAAGTTCAAATATGTAAATTTCGTTGAGCAATATTGATATGGGGGGCCCCCTGGACAGAAAAGGGATTTTTATGCTAATGACGACAAATTTTCAATGCGGAGCTATTTCGTAAAAATTGGTATTGTGGGGTTCTTTGCGATACGCCAAGTTCAAATATGTAAATTTCGTTGAGCAATATTGATATGGGGGGCCCCCTGGACAGAAAAGGGATTTTTATGCTAATGACGACAAATTTTCAACGCGGAGCTATTTCGTAAAAATTGGTATTGTGGGGTTCTTTGCGATACGCCAAGTTCAAATATGTAAATTTCATTGAGCAATATTGATATGGGGGGCCCCCTGGACAGAAAAGGGATTTTTATGCTAATGACGACAAATTTTCAACGTAGAGCTATTTTGTAAAAATTGGTATTGTTGGGTTCCTTGCGATACATCAAGTGTAAATATGCATGTTTCATTGAGAAATATTGATGGGGGGGGGGGCTGGACCTGGACAGAAAAGGGATTTATATGCTAATGATGAAAAATTTTCAACGCAGAGTTATTTTGTAAAAAGTGGTATTGTTGGGTTCGCTGTGATATGCAAAGGTCAGATATGTATGTTTTGGTGAGAAATATTGATAAGGGAGCCCCCCCTGCGCAATCTCTTGAAAAAAAATATTATTTTGCTGCAGTTCCTCTGCATCTCGCCAGGATATCTAGATTTATCTTTAATGTGTTACAACTAAAATAAAAGATGGAATTGTGAAGGAATGGTAAGATTAGCCAATAATGGGTGTCGTACGTGATTATCAGTCAATTTTGTTGCGGAATTGTCCTGTATTCCCCCAATATTTATTTGCTGCACTTTGAACCAAAATCGCATGGGGGACTTGTAACGGGTTTTTGTCTAATTACTAACGAACGGTTTGGGTTACGGTCAAAGTTACTTTGTTCAATGTTATATAGTATCGTAGGCTATCCGTGTCTAAAATATGGTGTACCTGTGTTGATTGTAACGTGATCTATTTGGCTCTAAATAATTCTTGGTAGGAACGCGTTTTACTACTTCGCGCCCCTAGAACTAGAGACAGGTGAATGGTCTATATTCTCACAAAAGATGAAGGTAGAGCAAATTTATTAACACCACAGCCAGGTCAGTATATCAGCCTGGTATTGTGCAAGTTTAAACCGGATATACAAAATCCTTATCAATTTATGAAGGGAAACGCACTTCTGTGAGATGCGATCCTAAAATCGTCTATGAGGAACGCAATGTTGGGACGACGCCTCCTTGCCAAGAGGTTCGGGAGTTATATTTTGCTAAGACTTCAACGCATTTCTTTCAAATTTGAGTGACTAATTTTCAAATGCGTTCCCACCCCATGCCCAAAATCCCATGCCGATATCACAATTTATTTTTGAGTTAACTATCTTTAAAGCTTTTGGAGATTAACTTCCATAACTACTTCATATATCACAGTTCACATGTCATCTCAATTGAAGATTGTATTTTCACAAGGCATAATTAGCAGTTTTATTGACAGCACAGCTAGATCAGCACATCAGCCTGGTATTGTGAGAGTTCTGTCCAGATATACAAGACCCTACTCGTTTTATGAATGAAAGCGCACTTCTGTGCGACCAAGGTGGTGCGACGCGGTCCTAGAATTGTAATGTTGGGAGGACGTCTTCTTGCCACAAGGAAACCGCAACATCTCGGCGGTCATAGCGCGCTTAGAACTCCACGGATTTCTTTCAAATTCTGGGGACTGATTTGTAAATGCTTTGATAGCCGATAGCCAAATTCTCATATCGAAACAATAATTCATTGTGGAGTTACTATCATTTAACCATCTAGAGATTAAATCGTACTTCTCTAACAACTTCGCACGCCGTGTATACCTTGTATCTTCACAAGGAATATAAAAGAAAAGCCTATCTATAACTGGACAGCTAGATAAGTATATTAGCCTTGTCTTGTATAAATCTATAAAATTACATACGACGTGAGATATTCGTTTAACAAAGAAAAAAGCTTACATGCGGTGCAAATTATCTCAATCGTCTGTATTTTGGACGCCTCCTCGCGTGAACGCTCAAGGTCGCACAGAGCACATACTATTAGGTGATACTCTTTATCTCGCCAAGCATTTAATTGGATTATTCGTTCTGAATTTGGATGATATATCCTATTAATGATTACACATGAACATGTACATGTATAACTGAATCGATATGCCAAAATCATGGAATATCACAGATCTACGTCATATTTCGGTGAGAGAAGACAAACGTGTAATTTGTGAAATCATTATAGCTCATCAACCCCTCAGTTGCCTATATTGACTACACTAACCGTTATTTAAGTGTTACACGAGTTCGTAAGACTTTTGGGTGTACAGGATAATACCCTGTTATT